ATGTCGGTAAGAAAGTAGGCGACCACCTGAATTCTCTGCAAAAGGGTGCGGCGTGAACAAATAATGTGGCAGTCATTATTGGAGATATGTTGCTCAGGATTTTGCATAACCTGATATGTGGATGCATCTCAGTAAACATCGAGCACCCGCAAAGGCTATTCATTCGAGATTGGTGATTTTGATGAAAGAAGTAATGGCATGTCTCGGGAATTTGGTAGGCTTATGACTTTTTGCAATGTTCCGCTGAGATTTCGCGGTGGGTGAATGTGTAATGTCTGGGCAGCATCCTCTGATGTTTTTCACAAATCTCCTCACGTACGGAGTGGTTGAATTCACCCATGAAGCAAAGTTGTTTGAGGAAAATCTACTTCCCGCAGCTGCAATAATGACTGTGTTTCTGCAATACGAGACGATCACCGTTCTCGGCGGGCCTTTTTATTAGCAAGACAAACGCACTACTGTCACCACGTTAAGTAATGAATAGTTTACGGATGCAGACGTCGCAATGTTAAAATCAAAAGAGCAGACGCTGGTTTTGAGGTGCAAGCAAATACTTGGAACATTCAACAATCCAGAATATAAATGATCCATTTAATAAGTGGAGTGCAGGATACTGCTGCTATCAGGAGAAACAGCTAAATCTACGAGGCAGAGCAAGCCGCTCAATTTGCTGAAACGGCTAAAATTTCCCTAGAAAAGAGTGGATCTTGCGAAGTAAGCGAACAATCGAAAAGAAGAAAAGATCTGATGATGCTAGAGAGGTTCTAATAACTTGCAGCGCCACAGTTCCGTTCCTTTCTCAATTTAGGCACCGCAATCACGATTCCTAAAAAACCGCTTTTCGATAACTGTAAAAGTTTTAAGCACTTACTCCGCAGTGAACGGAAAGAGCAAGAGGGAAGAATCTGGATGAGATCATTTTGATGATGAGAGGAAGTGGAATTCGCCGAATGGAGTACCAAGCGCAATGCCTCTGCAAGTACTACGCCCAAGTCGAACAAATTTAAACCACTCGAAGGTGTTGCGGTAGCTTCGGGCCATCTAGAACGCCTAATATGCCGTCTTCAGCGATATGCAACATTTCAGTACGCGCACGTTCTGTTGCTGAACCAATATGAGGCAAAATAACACAGTTGCTTAGTGAAAATAAAGGATTGTCAGGTGGTAAAGGTTCCGGCATTGTAACATCCAGGCCAGCAGCACGAATCTGGCCAGATGAAAGAGCCGCATATAAATCATCCTGATTAATCAAAGCACCCCTGAAAATACATCAGTCATTGGTTTTATTTCAAGTAAACTACATTATTCCAACACCCACTGGTGCATTCAGAAAAGATTTAGGGCAAAGGTGAAATTACTATTGAAACAAGTCTACAACAGGGTACAACTTCCGCCAACATGCATCAATTTTATTGTACACATTTCCTTTTTTTGGAAATCATAAGCCGATGACAAGATAAAGATTATAGCAGATTACGACTGCCTCTTTTAAACGAACTCCAATGCCAGGAGAGAGGCAGCCTAATCAGAACATTATCAGTTTATCGCTGGTATTTGGGGAGCTTATAACAAAACAAGTTCCGTCTCGGTCAAGAGGTGCATTCTTGAAACTATCAAATTGGCTATGCTTATCAATTCGGGTGTCAAGAAGCACCTATCAAATTTTATGTGCCTGACTAAATCTTGCCTCACTTTCGCGTCCTTTGGTTTAATTTCTTGCA